GATATGCAGCCAGGATTTTCATTGATATTATTAAAAAAGAAACGAGTATGAGGTGTAATCTGGTTCTTATGGCGGTTCTTTTAATTCTACGCTAGAGCATAACAAGTTTTGGTGCAATACAAGTAGGGTGGGCACGTTGTTTGTAAGTGGACTGCTGCCCGCTACTATACTGTCACGAGAATCGGGGAATTCGTGAGCCAGGGGGAGTGTAGCCAATCTAGGGGGTGGGGGGTGAGGGCAGTCACTTGACATGCGTGAAAAGCTGGGCGTGCCCACCCCACTTGTATAGCACCCAAGTTTTCTCACCAAAAAACCTTGATTTGCACAAAAAAAACTGGATAAAAAAGAATTTCGATAGAGTTTCCGGCAGAGCGTGAGCAAAGGGGGAGAAGCTTGAAGTACAAGAAATTTCGATGTTCAGTTGCTGCTACTATTGATTCTCATGAAGGCTGGCGCCAGCCCATCCAGCCGGTTCGCTTGATCTTTGGAACATGCGTCAACATGCCTGATCATCGATCGACGACATGGAGTTCGGAATCTCGAATCAGAGCCAATCGTTACCGTCTGCCATTTCAGAATTAAGCGCTCACGTCCTTAGGGGGGGGGGGGCATCGAGACGTCGAAAACAGGGCCGATGGTAAGTGGCACTAGGACTAAGCCCAGGAGAGGGGAGAAAGTCAGGAGAACACAAATTGCTCACATCTCCCTCCAGAATCCCTTCTCCTCTCTCCAGGGCTTAGGTTAGTCCCAAGTACTGTAATTGGCTCACCCACTTGAATGTCTCCCCCAACGACATGAGCGCCCAGAATATACCATAACCCTCCACAAGGGAGTGGGAGAACAGAGAAGCTCAAAGTCGAAACAACAAATTCTACACATTCCATCTCAGCGTATTTTTTCCACCACCATAACTCCCTCCAGAAACTCCAAGTACGACCCTCTCCCACTCCCCCGCCTCATTGGGAAAATCTCCAGGATCTTTGCCCATGTTTGAGACTGTCCATATGGCCAGGACTCCCCAAGATCCAAGTAGAGGGCCATTGAGGGATTTCCCTGATGATTCCCAAGTTTTTAGAACCACGACAAGGACCGTTTAGAATGAGTCCCAGTAAGTCAGGGCAAGAGGGATGGTAACTCCGGGGTCGGGTAGGGGACTGATTTACCCACATCAGGATCCCCACACTATTTAGTCCTCACCCCTTGCCTCGCAG